AATTTAATCTCAAATACTGGAGCACCTCAGTTCTAGAACTTTGATTTTGATTTGTCTTTTCGATGGGCATTCCAATTTAGACACCCCATACATATAGTTTTTCCTTGAGCACTGGCGATGTATGTTGCTTGGTTCCAACACCATCTCTCAACTTTCTTCTAAGCAAACACTAAAATCAAAAAGTCCATTAGTAATCACAAATGGTAATTGAAAACAGTCAAATGTATCATCAATACAGTGAGGGCCAAAACTACTTTATTGACAAAAAAGAAATTGGGAGAAAATACCTCTCCATCCCAGAGGGGTGTGATGTGTCATCAGTAGAATTTGATATCTTGAAAATTTTCAGACACAAGCCCTCTTTTCCTGACTGGACACATCAGGTGAGCATTTGTTTTGCGACCTGGAGCTCAACTTGGACAGATAGCCCACTAGATTAATCCGATGCTTCACATTGGATTTAGGAGAGCATCCATACTTTTCTTGCTACCCTCTAAATGATGTTGCACATGCATCCCTTAAAAGAACATCTCAGATTCGGGAATATTCATGTGTCACTACCATCTACCGCTGCAGTGTATATTAATAATCAAGGAACAAGCAGGAACGTGTTAGTGGGAATCATTCGAGTGTAGGTTATTAGGAATAATAATCTTTCCTTAACTTGAGAAGGAGAAGAAGTGACAACTCATGAAGTGTGTCCAATACTACAAATGTGAATGATATTGCTAGTAGATCATTGACGGGTATCCAGACAGGTCATGTCCTTGAACATTTGCAGCAGCCTTGAGGATCTCAATCTGTATATGCCTTATGTACAACCCGCATAACCCCAAAACTTAAACTTAACTAAACTAAACTAATGCTCACTGCATGGCATTTCAATCTGACTTTCTTGGGTCGGAGAGACTGGCTTGGTAGGTGGGCCATAATTCTACAGTAGCAAGGCAGCTGTTGTGATTCTGACTTTGAATCTCATGTTTCATATTGTAATATATAGACATGTTTGTTTGAATGTAAAAACATATATTGTCTCTGCTGGTGGAAACTCATTCATAGGCATGGTAGTGTGAATTCCACTAGTCTTCAATGACAAGCTGTCTCAGAGTATTGAGTATAAACTTTAATACTTGCATTTTGAGATTATTCATAGAGCTTTATTGAGGTCTATTTTGTGAAATATTTGATAGTCTGAAATCCGGCACATTAATGAAAAACAACAAGGATTTGTCACGATTGGAACACAATTCAAAAGAGCAAAATAAATTAATTGGAATGTTTATCATATATTTCTTACATTTTACACATAATCGGACCAAAATTACTAAACTTGATATGATATGATATGACATATGTACTAGTTGAGTAGTTTTGCAATTTATTTTTATTATCAGTTTGCTCAGTCATTTAATCAGAGATTTATAAGACCTTAGACAGAGACCAGGGTGATGGCAGGTTGGAAATCATCTTAGATACTGAGTCTCTGCTCAGAGATTTTAGCATGCAATTGATTGTCTGATTAGTGGTCAAAGCCGCAACCATAGAAAGTTTTAGAGCAGAATCAGGAGATCTCCCTGGGTTTTTCACCACTGGTGACCACTTGTGTTACACCAATCTCTGTAGCCTCTCCAGTAATGCTGGTGCATTTGCCAAGCTATGTGTTCGAATATCATGTTTGTATGTTCGTATATATGTCTATACATTTAATTAGTATGATATTGTCTTCTTGATGTGATTGTTCGACCATGTCTAAGTTCTCTTAAACCAATGTCAGTGCATACCACGTGTGATCTTGGGCGTATAGAAGCCTTACATATTGACAGTGATTTCTGAACAGCAGTTATTTTCCTAGGGATGTCAGCCAGGGATTGCAAGTGCGTCACATACAGTACCAAAATCACTCACAGGGCCAAAGCCCCACCAAATACTACCATACCATGTATAATAAGATATATCTAATTTAGGCAAATGTATTAAAATAAAACATGCAGATTAGAGCAAATAATTGCCCTGCAAATATATAACAACCATGTAGTAAATTCTATTTCTAACTATAGTTACACCAGAGTTCTAGGTACCCACACTATGCATGAGCAGTATGCTGTTTACAGAATGCCAATACTGCAATGATTGATCGTGAGAATAATGAGCAAATACTCTATATACAATAATACAAACTCATGACATATGAAAATTAAATGATAAAGCCAATGGTCAAACTAGTGGTAAATCAGATATGTCAAACACGATAGGTTATGTCAAATCCTTGAGATGCTAGGAAATGAATGTGATTTGCAATAGCCTGCTTGTCCGAATGTGTGTAAAAGTCTTACAGTCTCAAGGAACTAGCTAGACAATGTGGTGCAGCTAGATGCAAGGCAAATGAACATACAAGAGTATGTACCCCTGATCTTGAACATTCACTGGTAACACCAAATTTTGCGCCACATGGCACAAACTTATCTTGTCTTGAGATGTAGTTAGTCCTTCATAAAGAATTTACCACATTGATGCTTCTGCCTAAACTGACCTGTAATGTAACTAATACCTAATGTTTGACATTGTAAAAAGTGCTTTCTCACCTGTATTAGCCACATTGTAGAGAAAATCCACTAGCTGTGGCATAGATGGATAGAAAGAATGTGCTAAGTTTGATATAATAGGACCAGTTTCTGATAGGAGCATTGTTTCTGCGATCCTATGAGAAGTGCCAAGGGCAGATCTGAGTATGAGGACAGCCTGTATAAGATGAAACAGCTTTGGGGTTGCAGACATGTCTCTCTGTTGGATTGTCAGAAACTCTGAGCCATGAGACAGAAAACCTACCTACGAAAGCAATAGTGAGTCCATCCCTGAATTGGCAACGATGGAACTATTAGTGTCATTGTTGTCTTGACAGTGAGTGTTGCAATTATCAGAGAATATAGAGAAACCACTTAAACATCAATGTTGTCCCAACAGAACAGTCTCTTGTGTTCACTTGTGGGGGCTCTGCTTAGGCCAGAGATTTAAAAACATCTTAGGGCCCACGTTAATTTGTCTCCATGTCTGAGATAGTATTATGATAGTGTTGCTTATGTGCATGCACTTGACAAGAATCTTGTTTTCATTGCGAGAGAGCTAAAAAGCTAAAATGTAGGTTATGGTTATGACATTGTCACACCTTGTTGGTAACTATCAAGAGGCAGCAGCTTGACATTTTGCATGAGGGGGTGAGATCTGCTCAATAACCTTGGGCTGAAGGTGCAACCTTACTAGGGGGTCCGGAGGCATGCTCTCCCTTATAAATTTTGAAATCTAGACCCTCTGAAACCCTCTATTTCCTGCATTTTGAGGGGCAAATTTTGCTGACACAAAGGGTTTCAGCTTCATTTTGGAGGGGTGACGCCCCTATTTTTTTTCCAGGGGCGATCGCCCCCTCTGCACCCCACCCCATCTCTGTGCTGCTAGTGTTGTAGCATTTCTATATACTGCCTTACTTGGCAGACTGATGTTCAAGAAGACTTTGTAAAAAGTGTAAGTATCAGCTCTCTTCCTACAATTGACATTTTTGGGAAATATTTTTAACAGTAACAACCTTGATCTCTGGACATCTTTGAGTTTGTTTATTCCACTTGTCAGGTGAAACACACACCATACTGAGATAAATGGTAACACTTGACGACAAAGATGACATTTGTTGTGAAGATCATCGGTGAGCAAAAATCTGTCAACCAATAGATTCAAAACCCTCTTTGTCTGTACACTTCAGTGTTTGTTTCAGAATAGGTCATTATTTGGTGTAGTGGAAACTTCTGTTCCTATTTTCAAGAGTCTTGCCAGCTTGATTAGAGAACTGAATATTTATTTAGCCGATACATAACCTCTCTAGTCAGCAGAGGGTGCTTTCAGTTCGTAATAGTGTTACACGAAGGATTCACAAAGAATCACAAAATTGAAAACAAGGCGGAAACCATGGCAAATCATTTTTTCCTGCACTGTACATAAATTCATGATCTAGCATATAGTAAATGCAATAGCTGATTTAAGTGCACTTAATAGAACAAATATGGTACAAATGTAATGACGACACCTCCAGATGTTAAAAAAACAGTGACATTTATTTCAAAGTTTCCAAACAAAACAGCAACAAAACAAATATGGTATACAATAAAGGAGAATAAAACATTGACAACTGCCATTTGTACAAAATGTATAGAAATTAATATATTTATATTTTTAAAAAGAAAACACAAAATAAATCTGAATGCTTTGGTCAAAACAGCTTTGCAGCAGTAGAAAACATCAACTGAGATACAATATATTATAAGGTAGGACGTTGAAATCCATTCAATTTACCTTACAGAATATACCCACATAGAATTAACTAGTAAAATAGCGCACACACACACAATGCTCCTTAATTAGTATGCGCAAGTTTTATTTCAATTTTGACCTTAATTACCTTTCACCTCAAGGTCGCAAACTTGCTTAAAGCTCAGAATTTAATAAATCAGAGTGAATCAATTGTACAAATCTAAGAAAAAGTGATCAGAGAGAATAGGTATTGACAAAACTTTATCATCATATGGTTAAATTAGACAAAATTAGAAATATTTATTTGGAATTAAGCTCTTTAATCACTTAGAAAACAAGTTTTTAAAATAAATGTCCTGTCTCCCCAAAACTTCTCAAATTCTCAAACACTATGAAAATGAAAATAGGTGAGCAACTATTTTCACACTCACAACTTGGTCAATATTCAGATTTACTCTTCCATTAATGTTATATTAACAATATCGAGAGTCAAACATGGATAATAGTCTGGTATGTGAGAATTGTATAGTAATACAAGTTGAATAACAGATATTAACATCTCTTCTGATGAAACAGCAATTAATAATACTTAATTATAGTCATTCTTATTTATTGAAATAAGATGCCAATTTCCTAAATATAGTCACACAATATTTTTCTTCTTCTTTAAATTAAAAAGAAATAGGGAAGGGTATGGTATGATTGATACATGGTTACTTAGATAGAACGCATCAACTACAAAGGTGGAACGATGGGTGAATATTAAAGTCATAGTACTGACGAATTACTTAATACCTCAGGGCACTGTGAAGCGTATACAACACAGCAGTACTATGAACGTTTTACTGCATAAACTCCACAGCATGTGCACAAAGTCAATAAACCAAGTTGACACACATAAATCAGGTCCATGTGACCGTGTAATGTCTGAGCGTGCATTTTGTGGTGTTTTGTAATGCCGTGTTTGCTCTATTTGTAGTGCATACATTTACCCAAAATGACAGGTATCAATGATCGGGTATACAGTGAAGACAGTTTGGGGGTTTCTGTGACGTTCTATTGGCAATTTGTGTTTTTAATAGAACTAATATGGTAAGCATGATCATACATGCATAGAAACAAAAAGCATGGAAACAGTCAAACAAAAACATTCATTGCTATTTGCCGAGGGTGTTTCCATGGTAATTACAATAAAAATATGCAGCAGGTCAAAGCACTTTCTGATTAGTTAATGACAGGTGCAGAATTTGCATAAACAGTGAGAACCAATGAGTGGGAAGCATACAGAACACTTTTTTTTTTTCATGTATGAAAAGAAAAACATAACAGATTATAACAGCAGAGATCTTTGTTGTCATTTCTCTTCAAAGAACTTCTTGGCATGATCCCACCATGTTTCTGGAAATCTGGGACTCTAACATCATTCTTGACAAACCATCTTTGTCTTTTTCTTTGTCTATAATGACAAAAAACAATAAGCAGACAAAAGGTTAAAATGTCTCTACATAATACACCCTTCCCCCAATAAATATGTGTCCACTCTACCAGACCTTGATATATTTGGAATTATACTACCATGATGCATTATTTTTTTACAGTTCCGAAAATAGAATCACCTCTGGTGTAGAACACATTTCCATTGCACTATACTATCCTGAGCTATCATTTCATATTCCCATGTTGTCAGTCAAACAGACCCCAACTTTCCATTGATGCCATTTGAGTTAAAAATTCTAGGATAATTTGTGTGACCTCTAGAGCTGACCCCTTCTTCTTGTGAAGCAATCCACGGAAAAGCACACAGATTGCACTAGTGCTACAATCATTTCACGGCAAAACGTAAATTGCAAGGAAATGGAACTGGTTTGAGTTTGCGACCACACACTGTTGTTATCCACATTAACATCTCGACAACTAAGCCCATCTGTGGTGATTTGAACGAGTTCTTATAAATGTGAATTCCCATCCCGTAAAACAGCCGCAAATGGCAGCCAATTCACCAGCTGCATTGTGGCAACTTAATTCTTTCCTTCGCGTTGATAATTTACTTCCTACTTTCAAAGTAGATGGAACATTTGGAGTGAACTCTGCAGGACTAAATACTATTCACCAACAAGGGCATTTTGTTGAAACTCTTGAAAAGAGCGACAAACCATTTAGCGGCAATTCATCTATACGACATCAAATGAGCCACGCCATTTATTGCTTAAATTAGCTTAGTACCATTCAAGTAGTATAAATATCACAGAGTGCGCATGATAATAGTTAGAGTGATTACCACAAATACAAAGTTGTAGAAATCATTTATATGTCAAAGAGTGATTCACAGCTACCATGTTTTGTTGTGACAGCAGAGTGGCAACAACACTTTCAAATCCAAATATTTTACTTCAATATTTTTTTTGTCTCTCAACAACAGAAATTTGATAGGGGTCAGACTATTCATTACATCGATAGAAATTCTACAAAATATTAACTCAGACGTAATATGAAAAGACAATTTCAACATTTCCAGGGATAATGCATTTCACAATAAGTGTTATTGTTATTCAAAATCTGAATAAATTTTTGAGATATATGTAATTGGTGAATAAACAGGATAAAAACTGATTCCACATGGATAAAAAAAAATGCTTTCTTTTTTTTCAAAAGATGTAAATTTGAATTACGATGGAAAAAATGTTTCTTTTCAGAACACACATGAGAGTGATTGCGAATAAATACAAAAGTAAGCAAAGCCGACTCCAAA